GAACTAATTCTTAATCACATAGAAATTCAAGTCGACAAGGAAGATCTTTTTCAAAATTATTTTCATAAAACAAAATATTTCCTTATCTAGCTGGATTCCCTAATAGATCCCCGACTTACTAAGAAATATGGAGGGTGTCCCACTTCGTGGAGTGTAAACTCCAGTGGGCCTTGCGTCACACGCACCAGTGGGTCCCACATGTGTGGGGGCTTAGGCCTTGGTCCCACCATGTGGGTTTCACTCCATAAACATGCCCTTGGAAACTTAAGAAATATCAAAACCATGCTTTAAGGATTTTTAATGGTTAAAATAAATGTAAAAATTCTGAAAAAATATCTAAAAATCATAAGAGCATGAATAAAGTGGAAAACAATATGTTTGAAGTTCTTAATAAAGTCTAAAGCACTCAAAAATACCTATAGAAGTAGATTGGTACCAATTCGTCAAGAAAAAATGACTATCAGGGCATTCCACTTGTGCTAGAAATTGTGATGCACGAGTATCTTCTCAAACCAACCCATTGGGACTCATGACCCACAATCATATGCATAGGCTCATGAATGGCCCGTTGACGTTGCTTAATAAACAGTCGAACCATGGTCCTAGTCTGTGGATTACAAGTTGCCCTTCTAAGAGCACGTCACATGCACATATCGCTCTAGTGCATGGGGGGACTCTCTCTGTGCACATGTACATATATCTAACTATAGGGTGACTTCTTAGAATGTGGCTGTCATATATACATGCATGTGGAAGTTGGTTAAGGATTTGACCCTTGCTCTCACAGGCCTACAACCGCAAACGAGAGACCACAAAGCTCTTTTGGCCTACAAACATTGCCCCTGGGCATTTCTTCGACCTCAACAAGGGATGACCCTCTAGGATACCCTCAATAGTAGTGCCTTTGCCTATCCATTTCTTTAATTTCCTCAACAGTAGTGCCAATGCATATATCCACAAATCTATTTTTTCCACCTTTCCCATCTGGAAATATTCCCATCATTCCATCATCTTTATCCTAAGATGTGAGCAAAGTAGGAGTACTAGTGGCCAAGTTGTGTGCTAAAGGGAAAGTACCAACATAGCTTTGAATCTATGTGGAAGAACTTAGGCAGAAAGAGCTAGAATTCTAGGTTTCAATGGCTACTCACCAAATAGATTTAAGTATTATGCAGATATGTAGCACTCGATATTGTTCATGCAAAAGATTAGTTACTGGAGATGCCTTAACAAATAGTTGTTGATATCCTAAGAGGGATTTAGAGTAGGGGATAATTGCTTGTTCAGAGGTCCCTAGTTGGGGAGGGCCACTACGATAAATATTAGGGATTTTATAGCAAATATATTAAACTGTTCCTTTTTACATATGCATAAATATACCTAGCTATATTACATTAATATTGATCCATGCAACTACACATGAGATCTACTCATTTTTTACTGAAAAGGAGTTTTCTCAAAAGTCTCTATCTCCAACCCCTGTTGTCCCTCTCACTCTTAACTTCTCTCCTTGAATAGCTGTTGTTCCCCTCTCTCTAATTTCTCTCCCTACACCAGCCGAATGCCAGCACCAACGGGTAGGCAAGAGTGGGAGAGGAGAGGGATTATGTTGGAGAGGTTTGAACACCCACTTGTTGGCACTGTATGCTTTCCATAATGTTACAAATTACAACCCATTTCTCTCTCTAAGCCACTTTTACCCAACAACAAAACATACAATCCCTCTTCTCTTTAACCCTTCCACAACAACACAATCCCTTTTTCTCTCTCTAAACTAACTTACAACCCTCTCTAGTCCTCTTCGATCGTATCTAACAACAAACACAATACCCTTCTCTAAGAAGGGTGAGGATCTTAAACTTTCCCTTAACCCGTCCCAAGCTCGGGTAAAGGAGGAAGGTTGTGTTAGATAGGCAGCCAACATAACACTTTACCAAATGTTTTCATGAATATTGAAATTACGTTATTTGCTTATGCTTGGGCGTCCTCGTAAGCGATGTGTTGTATCATATGGTATGGCCTTTAATACAACAGAATGACAAACTAGGATTCGTGTTACCGACCCCAAATAGTTGAGAAAAGGCTTTGAGGATGATGGTGACGATGATCTCTCTAACCCCCAGACACTCTCTCCCACTCTCTCTCTATCCTCTCTCAAAAAAAAAGCAAGCCTCCTCTTTGTCTCTCTTACTCATGACAAAGATTAGTGGCTCTCTCAAGGCTCTAACTTATAGCAAATGACAATCTCTCTCTCTCGAAAGCACAAGCTGCTCTTTCTACCTCTAAGCCACAACAGAGCAACCAATCACAAACCACCTACTTCAATGAAATGGGAAAGTGATCTATCCACATTGCTTAGTGTTTTCACAATATCCTTTGTTATCCCACTCCACAGCCTACATGTCATGATATTGGCCACCAAATGCCTTCTCGCTCTCCTTAACCCTTATATCACATGCCAAAGCAATTAATGGGGTAAATTGGCCCATCGAGTTTCCTCTGATTCTGTTCATTAGGCTGCAAACAAAGCCAATAAATCTCTCTCTCTAATTCTCCTTCTCACTCCAAATCTCTCTCCCCCATATTGGGATGAAAAGCAAGAGATCTATCTATCATTGGTTTGTGGCGTTCCTTCTCTTTGTCATCTTAGGTCTCCCTACCTTGGGTCTCTCTATATATTCGTGTCTTCCTCTATATATTACTCTTTCTCTGTCTACTGATTAGGAGAGAAGTTAGAGAGAAAGAGGGATGTGTACTTATTAGAAAGAGAAGTTAGAGAGACAAAGGGATGACAGGTTAGAGAGACATCAAAGAGAAAAATCTCTCTCTCTCTCTCTCTCTCTTTTGTTAAAGAGGTAATGCCAACAACAACGTATATTTGAATATTCCACGTATTTGTACGGGTCAACCTTATGTAGAAAAAAGTATATCTATTTTATCATAAAAACTATAAATATTGAAAGATAAGTAAATATTTAAAAATGAGATAAACTTCATATTGAAAGATTTTGTTGCTCGAGTTCTCTTTTAAATTTTTTCTAGACTAATACTATCCTCCTGTCTGCAACGTACAAATTTACCATGTGATGCATTTTCTAGGTGCATAATGGAGCCGGCCGAAGGAGAGTTTGGGCTTTTCCTTAACTTTAGTAGAAAGGGTTCCCAAGAAAACAAGGAAAATGTTCCCAAAACAATCGCAATGCATTGGGAATGAATTCCAGCTCTTGATACTTAGAACAGCGATCTGGGAGGAGTGCCACCTTAATTAGAGATCCAACTAACTTAGAGTGAACAGCTTTGGAAGTGGGACAAAAATTTATGAATTGGAGGGTTTTACATGAGGAATCACTTAGAAATACCATAGGGTTATTGCTTTTGACGGTGGCATCCCACACAATTGCAAGGCTCCTGCAACTAAGAGCATGTAACAGTTTGTTCGAGCATCTTCCTAACCTCAAATGGTAGTTCTTGTGCTATACTATTCCTGGAATCAACTACATTGCCTTTAGCTTTCAATACATGCAACTGGTTGATAGATTGGCAAGATAACCGACACCTATTGCTAGTTGTCTAAAGGTCAAGAGACATTCATTGTTTCATCATCCAGAATAAAGCTAAATGCTGAGCCATATGAGCCTACTATTGTCTTTGCTGATATGCCATTCAAATGACTTCTGTAACTCATGATTACAGGGAACACCTGGGTGTTTTGCCATACCATTAGAGAATAAAAACATTAGCTTGATGACCTCATCCCCATGTGGATGATCAGAAATAGATAATTCTTGGTTTTCGACTGCGGACTTATTGTCCGACATGAAACATGAGGCTCTCCTTAGCTTTTTTGGCCTCCCATCACCTTGTGTTTTTTCTTCTTTGTGGTTCATTCTATAGAGGCAGGTAGCGTGGTTGGGGGTGGCAATCCCCCCTCGGAATCTCGCTCCAGCAATCCCAGAGCCAGAGCTGGAGCTCGCTCGTCCCATCAAGGGTGCTCAATCCCTATTTTATAAGGATCTCGATTCCTGACTGAAAGGGATCTTGATTGCTTTGGAAAGGGGATTGCGACCCCATTGGAATGGGGAATGATCATGGTTTGAAGGGATCTCTATCCTTGGGAACTCTTTCAAAAGGTTTCGAATTTTGAACCAAGTCTTTGAGTTTGAACCAAGTCTTTGAGTTTGAACCATTTATTTTGCTTTTTGCCAATTTTCTAGTTAACGACCCCTTGTAGGCAATTTTTTTTTCTTATTTTCTTAAGTGCTTGAGAACTAACAAACTGACTTGGAATTGCCCTTGTTGGCTTTGACCTAGGGGGCTTCCCTGTCCTGGATAGTCCCGAAGGGGAATTTTCCAAGGTTTTCTAGAACCATTACAGTGAGTGGCCCTATCACATCTGGTTGGGGACTTGGGTGATTCCTAAGTTTGATTGCCCTCCAGTATCTTTTTTCAAGATTTTTTATGGGACTTTCAGGCTATAGATTTTCGTTCTATATGTGTAGATAATACTAAAAAATGGATCATACATTTCTTAATTTTTTTAAATCAGTTAAAATTAAAATAATATGTGTGTTTAGTGTTCCCCAAAGCAATCCAACATACATATAGTACAAATATCATGCTACTCCCAGGCCCGATTCATGAACAACGCTCCCAGGCGCTCCCAAGGTGAGGGGCTTTTGCCATGGGCAATTTCCAAGCTCCCTTCCACTCCCAACAACTATGCTCCATTTCCTTATGTTTTTGGTTCATAATAATTTTCTAGGGCCCCAGCGGCATGTAAAGATTTTTATGCAAGGATGAAAACAATTATGAATGATGTTCTCAAGATGTATCTTTATTTTCTATTCTTCAATAGCAACATACTAGTTTTTGTGTAGAAGTTTTGTTTTGGTTGAGTTGCTACTGCTTTATAGTTTATTTTCTAGTTTAAATGTCATTTGTTTGGATGTAGAGAATGTAATCTTATGTTGAATCTTTCCTTATTCTATGAAATATGATGACAGGTTTTTGCTACTCCGGAAACTCAAATTGGATTCCATCCTGATGCTGGGGCTTCTTTCTATCTTTCTCATTTGCCTGGCTATTTAGGTATTTATGATGTGGATTGTTTCTTTGAAAATATTTCTATTTATATGGATCTGATTGTGCTATGCATGTATAAGCCATTTCTTTGTTGATAAGTGAGCATTAGAATTGTATGTTAGAAGTGCATGTAATATACTGGGGGGTGCAAGCTGAGTTTTACTGTACCAAAATGATAATTGCAAAACAATAGAAAGTGCATAAAACAGTTAAAAAGGAAGGCACAAGATTTGGTTGAAAATTTATGAGGAATCAGAATTATGTGCTTCAGAATCAAATATAGTATGAACTATTGTTTCTTGAGAAAACTGTTTAAAAGATGGATCACAACGTATGTGGGCTGTTCAAAAGGGACATATCCTATTGTTCCACAATGATGCTGCTGAGATTGTTGGGATATGTTTAAGAGAAAGTAGCGAGAGAACCATGCTCACAAAGATGGCTTAGGACATCTGCATATGCATACCTTGTTCATCGTGTGATCAGATGAGAAGGGGTTGAGAGTAAAATTCTAGGTGAACAAGGGCTGATTACATATGATAACTATTCATACGATATGTCAGTTTGAGAAAACCAGAGAAAACGATTGCAGCATCAGAGAAAGCTGTTTAATATTAAGGGACTTCTGAAAAGCTGGGATGCATGAAAGATTGGATAATGTGTTGATCAAACCCTGCAGTTCTAGTCTACCCGGCACCCACTCCACCATCAATGGATCGATCACCTGTGGTGTCCTGAACCCTTCGTTCAGTCGGTATATGTCTTTTAGGGTCTTTAGTATTCTCTTGACCTATTGGGGCCTACAACTTTGCCGAGTCGACTGGCATCCCTTTCAATTGCGCACTTATCGAAATGCTCATTACGAGAAAAGAACATTTGAGCCATGTAAATTTCTAAAAATAGACATTAAGTAAACATGTAATTTTTTTTTTTAATAAATTGACTTCTTGTATTGAAGTGTAAAGGTGTACCAAATTGCATGTATGAATGAATGAGAAGAAAAATTGCGTGTACATTTGTACAAAATTGGAAGGGCTTTCTGATAAAAAATTGTTCAAGGGAATTCGATCATTAAAGGATCTTTAGATCTCTCGGATAGGTGAAGAATCAAGATCTTGAGGAGGTTTTAAGAAAAAGTGCCTTACAGCCAAGGAAGGACTTGGAAAAGCCATGTGTCACACTTGGTCACATGACTTCTCATATATACAAAGGTGCACAAGCACAATATTACCCCTAATGAACTATAATAGTGCAGAAATATTATTTGGTCATATTTACATATACTAAATGACCATAATATTAAGAAAAAAAATTGAGGGTAGAATAATAAATTACATTTCTTCACTTCCCTAAACTATCCTTCTCTTTACACTCCCTCAAACTAATGGGGTTGATCAATAAGTAGCATCCGTTTGTGCAGAAGGAGATCATGGCACTTGCTAGCTGTAGATTGAAGGAATATATGGAATAATTAGTTTGTCATTTTGAAACTGTCCCCGACCAAAGTGACAATCAACTTCAATGTATGGTCCTTTCATGGAATAAAGGGTTATTGGCAATCTTGAGGGCACTAACATTATCAGCATTAACTGGAGTTGGAGCAGCAAGCCGAATATTACTAATAGGCTATCTAAGGCAAACCACCTCACTACTAGCGGAAGACATGTCTCTATGGTCCATACTCTAATTCATATGTCGAATTGGAAACAACAGATTGTTCCTTGGATTTCCATGTAATAGGTGATGAAGCAAGGAATAAGTAGTATACTCTAGTGGAGTGGTGAGTGTCAGGGCATCCAACATAGTCAGCATCAATGAAGGCCACTAGCTCGAGCTAGGAGTCAGGAGAGTCGAAATGATATCTGTCTTGAGTCCACGATTCGATGCACAATAGTCAAGTGTAGACAATGGGGATTTGAGACAAACTGACTAACGTCAGAAAACATGGAAAATTTATGGTTTGAGACATTATGAGGTATAAAAGACTTCCAACGAGGCATCAGTAGGTAGAAGGATCAGAGATTCTATCTCCATCATTTTTGGAATACTTCACATTAAGCTCTTATGGAGTATCCACAATATGGTTGTTGGGAACGGGAGCAGTTGCTGATGCTGGCGTTGGAGCCTGAGATTGATCTGGCTGAAGGTCCTTACCTTGGGAGCTATTTAGGGAGCGGCCTACTATAAGTACTATATGTATATAGGAGCGACTTTATACACACACTCACACACACACTCACCAGTAAGCTGCATGTGCTTTCACTTGTTACTGGAATATTATTTGTCTTAAAAATAACAGAGTTTTATCATTATAGTTGTATAAATGAAATTTATTTATGAAATACAAAATTAGCATACTTGCTCTAGAATAAAAAAAAAAGCTCGATTATTACACTTTGTTCTATAACTGTTTGTGTTGAAAATTCTTAATAACACTCAATTGAACATAAAAGATTTTGTAGTAAGAAGACATTTTAACATTCAAATATACCATGGAAATTATTTACTATACACATCAGTTGTCATTCCATATTATTGTTTATGAATAACAATATCCGTCCCCTTAATTGAAGAGATAATGGTCATACATAAGGTCTTAGCAAGAGATGCTTATGGAGGAGATGTCATAAGGAAGATAAAGGAGCTAAAAATCATAAAAATAGTGAAAGACAACTTTTGAAACATATAAATATTTAAGACATAAAAATTGTAATTAAAAACATATGAATTATTTAAAATTTACAAAACAAGAAACAATGCTAGTTAGCTAAATAGCATATTTTAAAATGAGAAATGATCCTATAGGACCCTCCCCCACCTATGTGTGTAGGACCCCAAAGGATTGCCATTAAATTTGGCACGGATCTATAGAAAAGTCAAGTCCCACACGCATGTGATCACTTTTCTAGAGATTCGTGCCAACTTTAATGGTGATCCTTTGGGGTCCTACACACATGGGTGGGGGAGGGTCCTATAGGATCATTACTCTTTTAAAATATTAAAAAGTCGCAATCAAAAGAACTGAAATATATCACTGACAATTTTAAATTATAGAAAGTCATAATTAAGAAGTGCAAAATTTCATAAAGAATAGTAAAAGAAGAATAATGTAAATATAGTATTTTTAATAAATATATTAAAAGGTGATACCTTATAAGATAAAAACAAAAATGTTATTCCAAAACCAAGATATTATGAGCGACATATTGTAGATGGAAAATAGCAAGAGAAAGCTAGGGGATATAGGAAGGTTAAAAAATTAGTTATAAATGATTTTTAATAAGTAAGAATTTATAATTAAAAGCACATATTACTTAAGAATCTCAAAAAATTAAAGTACTAATCACACATTTTGTAGAAATTATGAATTCATAAGTACAAAACCTTAAAAGATATTCATAAAAATGAGTAAAATACAAAACTAGAAATTAAATATGTTCTTTTCAAAAATCCTAAAAATAAAATCAATATGTTCTTTAAATTAAAAATAAAGCAAGGGTTCAAGAGAGACCTATAGAGGAGATGATATGAGAAAGGTAAAGGAGCTAGAAATCATAATTTAGTGAGCAACAATGTTTGAAGCATATAAATATTTAGAACATGAAAATTGTAAAAACATAGAAATTGTTCAAAAATTCCCAAACCCCAGGTTTCAAATGAGTATATCGCTTCTTGATTGAATGTTATACATTTGTTTAGAAAAGTGAGTAAATTGTTTATGTTATGTTTTAAGATAATACATAGGTAGCCGTGTATGCCACTGTGGGCCAGAGGTGCGAATATACACATAATGTTAGCATTCTCAAATTTTTTTAATAAAATTCATATATGATTATATTTAGAACTCGCAAAATAAATTAATTAAAAATATTCAACTTTTTTTTTTTGTTTGACAAAGTTAACATTTTATTACTGGGGAGAATGATTACATGGATGTGATGATCCGAAGTCACCCACGCAAGGTGACTCGACAAAAAATGCGTTTAGTCTATCATGTACAAAACAGGCTTATAGAAACAGCCCAATTACATTGATTTACATGGTGCTTTCAAAAAATTCAGCAGGGCAAAAAATATGCCAATATACAAGGATTTTTAGGTTATGTGCCAATGATCCAGAGCAAAAAAGGAATTGGACCCGGCTTGAGCTTGTCCTTGGCTTCTAGCTCATTCTTTCGCCAAGCGATCTGCGGAGTTATTGGACGTCCTCCATATATGCTTCCAGGAGACTTCCATAGCCCTGCAAATGTGATCAATTTCATAAAAAATTGAGGTTAGGTGCCATGGTGGAGAAGACACTTTACTTACCCAGGAAATGACATTTTGTGAGTCTCCTTCCACTATGAGGTGCGGGCCCCAAGAACGGTTGAATTTTTTCAAGTCTAGTAAGAGGGCCAAGGCTTTTGCGTGGTGGGAGTCCTTGAGACCAAGGTGCACCGAAAATATTAGGAGAATGTTGCTTTGGTGGTCTCTGAAGACCCCTCCAGCCCCTGCCGGGCCTGGATTCCCTAGGTGACCAAAGAGATTTCCTTGTGAAGGAGTGCCGATGTGTGGACTTTTTGGCCTTGAAAGATTCTAATATTTCTTTCCACCCAGACTGTCCAAATGGTTGCAGCTATTGTTGCCTTCCAAAGGATTCTTCCGGCCTCCGGCCAACATAAGTCGAAATCACAAGATGTCAAGGCCTTGATCGAGGGAGGGGTGATCCATTTGATGCCAAGTAGTTGCAACACTTGGCCCCTAAGATCGTAGGTAAAATCGCAGAGGATGAATAGATATGGGGATTTGATTCCTCCTCACATTGTCACAAAGCACACCTATTAGGGATCGGGATCCCTTTCTTTTGGAGATGGTCCACTGTGAGAGCTCTATGGGAGCCGGCAAGCTAGTTGAAAGTCTGAACTTTGGGTGGAGCTATGGTGGACCAAACTTTGGACAGAACCGAGGTGGGATTCCTCGAGAGAGTGGGGGGTAAAGTTAAGCTCTTATAAAAGGAGGCTATCGAGA